CAGCTATGCTGGCTGGGGAATTCTGGGAGTTGAAGTCCACACCTCTTAAAGTCGCCAAGGTTGAGAAACACTGCCTTAGCTATCCATAAATGGCCACACCCTTTCTCAGGGTTGTGGGTTTACTTCTCATCCTTTAACACAAGGCGCAGGCGCGTCTTGTACCGAAGACCTTTAATGCTTGCTTTCAGCTATTACAAGCCACCTCCCTTTGATCTGGACCAGCTCGTCCGCCTAAAAAAATGGGGGGTGGGGGGAAAAAATCCCTTTTGGACACCTGCCCTCCTAATACCGAACCCCAAGCTCTACAAATCAATAACGCAACCCCCTATTGGGTTATGACCCGTCCCTGGGCTTTTTAAAATGTGCTCGGAGATGAGATCCATGCTTGCTTTTTCAAGTTCTCAGAGCCATTTAAGGATTTGTCAGGTGTGCCAATGAAGGGTGCAATGGGTTGCATTAGCATGGCACCCTTGTTTAGAGGGCAGCAGCCAGTGTGCCCGTCGATACTGCAAATAAATATTTCAAAGCTTTTTATTTGATGCCTATGTTGTACCGTGTTATTCAAACATTAATCTTTAGATTGGGGGTACTGGAAGGTTAAAAAGGACAGTATCGTGTTGATCTGATTCCAAGTAACAAAAGCTTTATCTAAAACTACCCTGTAGGTTCATTTATATTAGTCTGGATTTTCCAATAGTGGTATTTTAACAGCAGGTTTACTTAGCTTTTTGTCATAACAGATTTCCTGGGGATTCTCTGCAATACACTTTTTCCTATCCGTTTAGCAAAGAGCCAGTAGATTTGAACATTGCTGAAACTGTAATATAAAAATACAGTGTTATGTGTCGCATTCATGAAAAAATAATCCAAATTAAAATACTTGTTAAACAACCCATGATTTTTGTATTACTGTATCATATTTATTAGAAGCAACCTTGCAAGACAAAACGGTCCCTTAAGGACTAGCGTATAATGGCAGAAGCCAGCCATCTCCAGCCCGGTGACTACCAGATGCTTTGGACTCCAACTGCCCTAATTCCCAGCCAGAATATCACATTGGAAATTATGAAAGTTGAAATCCACTGTATTGGGGGCAACCTAGCCTGGGATGTTGAAGGTTTCCTAACTGTATCTTCACAAAACAAAGTGCCACTTAATTCAGAAAAGAATGAAGTATGTGAAAACGTTGCAACCCTCAATCAGTATTCAAAGCGTTTTAAAAGTTCGGTGGGGACGACTGGCGCTGGAACTAGGTGGATACCCTCCGCTCCATAGGACCCAGGTGCTCAGCGTCCGCTCTGCCGTCCTGTATCTTTAAAAGAACGATCACGTGAGCGAAAAACAGCTGATGTGGCGGGGCTCGCCGAGCCATACCATTCCAAACGAATTTTAAAAAATGGAGCGTAGAGTAAAATGCAGCTCATTACATACGATTTCGTGTAATGTTCAATTTATAACAGGTAGTGCACATCCCAGACACTGCTTGTCCGCGGGGTTCCAGGAGAGATCCCCGTGAGTAGCTGACAGCTCCCCTACGATACACTTAGTGTGGCCCACGCTCCCGATACGTCGAATTCCTAGACGATACCATTGTGATCACTTGAAAGGGTGGCAGTAATCGCTCTACTACGCGGTTTCCTTTTTCACTGTGACCCTATTGTTTTATCCTTAATATGTTGCCTTCCTAATAAAGGATTTCCTATTATGTTTAACACTATAGGCGTAAACCAGCCGTATTATCAGCGATGCCTTTCCACGATCACCCCCTCCTCTGCTTTCGGATGGTGGATGCAAACCGCACCTCAGGGCGGTTTCAAAATCGGCCGCCATCTTGGGCTCCCTCATCGCGATTGATCCAAAAGGGAGGGGGAGACCGGTATAATCTGGGAACGACATTTTTACAAAAATAATCGTGAGAGAAGCACGTCTGGGAAAAGGGATGGTGACCTAAATGGTTTCGTTCTCCTTAGCTAAGGCCGAAGAAGGTTTTATTTCAAGGCGGCTCTCCTTTCTCCCCCTCCTTCCCGGCCGGAAAGAGAGATGGTCTGCCTCAGACTCGCGAGAGCGGGCGGCGGCGCTCTCGCGCACATGGCCCGGCTAGGGGCGCCTCCCCCGGCCGCGCGCGCCTGCGCCCTGCCCTCCTTTACGGCCGAGGCCTCTCCGAGCGGCGTGTGTGAGGCGAGCGGGAAGGCCGCG